GTAGATCTATAAAGTAAAAGAAGGAGGAAGAGAGAGAGAGTAACAATGTTATATATAAGGCAAGACTTGTTGTAAAATGTCTTATTCAAAAGGAAGGTGTTGATTACACTGAAATTTTCTCTACTGTTGTGAAATATACTACTATTATATGCTTATTTGCTCTTGTTGCTCAATGTAAATGGGAACTTAATCAATTAGATTTTAAAATTGCCTTTTGTATAGTGAATTAGATGAAATTATTTACATGAGACAACCTATTGGTTTTATAAAATAAGATCCTAAAAATATTGTTTGCCTGTTAAAGAAATTTTGTATGGTTTAAACAAATACATAGACTGTAGTACAAAAGATTGGATATTTTTGTTCTGAAATTTGGCTTTTAAAGGAGTCAGTATGACACCTATTTATATACCCAGGCAAAAAATTCTTATATTTAATCCTTTATGTGGATGATATGTTGTTTGTTAGTTGCGATACATTTGAAATTGATAATATTATATTAAAACTAAAATATGAGTTTGACATGAAGAACCTTGGTTCTACTAAAAAGATACTAGTCATGCAGATTTAGAGAAATAAAGAAAATGACTTTCTATTTTTTAATCAACATGATTATATGATAAAATTTTGAAAAATTTAACATATATGACTACAAACATGTAACCTTACCTCTTGCTAATCATTTTAAGCAGTCTTTTAAATGTTATCCTAAATCTAAAGATAAATATGCTAGAATGTCTAATATTCCTTATAAAAATGTTATATGTTCTATTATGTATTTAACGATTTGCATAAAACTTGATCTTACACATAGTATTAGCATATTAAACAGATTTATGAGTAACCCTAGGGAAGAACAATTTAATGCCTTGAAATGGTTATTAAGATATTTTAAAGGCACACCTAACTTAGTTTTAATGTTTAAATCGAGAAAAGATACATTTTTATTGTAAGTCGAATATTTCTTAGTGAATTATGCTGCTTCCTCATGGGGCTAAAAAGATTATTTTATCTCTTTCTTTCTTCCACTATCTCAAATTTCAAAGTGTTGACCTCTGAAATTATGGTTTGGTTTGATTTGAGAATTGAAATGAAAAATAATGGGAGAAAGAAAGGGATGGAATAATATAAGTTATACTAAAATTAGACAGCAATAACTTAAATGAATAAATAGAAACAATAAAACTCAAAATTGCACAATAAAAAAGTTAAAATGAAGATTGTAAAAATTGTATTATAGATTAAGAAGGTAGACACAGTTGTGGTGTGAGAAAAAATGAGGTGGAAAGAGGCATCTTAAGAGTATTTATATGGCAACAATGTTATTTGTACATTAATATTTTGTTATCATTCTTGACATTCCATTGTTTTTAAAATAAGTGCTGGTCGGAAAATGTTTTTTATTTTCAAATTGTCCAATGTGATGTTACCACGTGACACAATGTAAAGAATGATGTCAAACTCAATGTACCAATAGCATGATTCATTTTTATGGAAATGTAAAATTTGGATGTAAATTGGTACATTCAAAATCACTTTTACATTTGTATTTATATATCGATGGATCTAAATTCAAATTTGCTCCAATGGAAAGGTTTAAATTCATTTTTTGCAAAAACAAATCAATTTACATTTTCTTCATTTTTTTTTTATTTTTTGCATTTCTAAAAAAAAAATTACAATTTGCATCTTTGCATTGGAGGAGTTTCCAACCACTTTGGAGATCAGAATTACAAATTAGATTTAAAGCATCATTGAAGATGCTCTCCAATGGTAGAGCTAAAAAGCTAACAACCCACTGGCACCCAATTTTTTTAGATTTTGTATTAAAGCAAAACTTGGATTTAGATCCACCAAAATGTATATGAGAATGAAAAAATGATTTTGAAAATGTCAATTTACACACAATTTTACATCACCATTTGGAGATGCTCAGAAAGTTTGTCCATTGTTAAAAAAAAAAAAA